TGTGTCGATGCTCGGCTTTTGCACTAAGTGCCACTGCTTCTCTTTGATCTGTTATGAAGAGCCAGCGTCTCGCGCTTCACCGTGTTGGCGCAGCACTTCAAGGAGCGGTAGGGGGCTTGATGCAAAAACAGTTGCTCTTCGTGTTTGCCGACGCTTCAAAACGGGGTGTCCAGGTTGCGGATTTGCTTTTGTTTGAGGCTCGAAGTTCAGGTTACTGTGTCCGTGTTTGCGGGGGAGTCAAGGGACCTGGGTTCTTTCTGCCTTAGTAGCGCACCAGCAGTGGTGCTGCTTTGTGTCTGCACTGTGTTGGCTTGCCGCAGTTCGGAAAGTGGGAGAGACTTTCGGAGCAGAGGGCTCTTGGCTGCTTCAGGTGAAAGAGACTACGTGCACAGGTGCGTCAATCACAAACATAAGATTTTCTCGCACCAAGAAGAATCTAGTTGCACCTCGTGCCTCAGGCAAAGGTTGAATCTGCTTGCACCTTGTATTTTACGGAGTCTCAAGCATCGTGTTTTACCGAGTGGAGGCACCTTTGTAGCTAGACAAAGGTTTCACACAAATCTGGTGGCGCCTCTGTTTCTGCTTTGTGAACCCTGCATTTGTTCTTAATACTTGTGGTTAGGATCGGGCTGCAGTGGCTTTGCGTATGAGGCTCAGGTTACTTGGCCGCCCTGCTGTTTTCGTCGGGTTGTTGTCTGTCTTGATTTGTCCAATGCTTCTCTTTTCTCTGTTATGAAGGGCCAGCGTGTTCACGAAAACATGAAACAGGGTAGGAACCTGCGAGTCGGTTTTCTCCCTCATTGCCGGTACGTGTTCGGTTTGTTGTGATTGTCAATCCCTTGTGCAAGCCAGGACCTGTTGGCCATCTCCGACTTAACTAAGCACTCGGCTTCTGACCTGGCCATCAAAGACCAGCTGCAAAAACAGTTGTCGCAACCTCCACACGGAGCCAAATGACTCACACTATGTGAACCCCAACGAAACATCCAAAGCATTTCTATTGGAAGTCGGCACGATGTTGCAGCGCTTTAAAACCCGCAGGCTGTTGAACAAAGTTGACAGCGCGCTGCCGGAATACGCCACCATGAGCGGTGCTGGAAAAACGCGTTGGGGCTTCCAGGTTCAGCGGTTGCTGGAAAGAGACAAAGATTTCAGCGACTGTGCTGTACTTCGTGTGGGCCCGTGTGGGGCTGAACTTTAATGGCGGTTCTGGCGGCGGCGATGCCGATTCTCAGTACTCAGCAGTTTTCCCCCCAGCAAACCATGGCCAGTCTTCTTT